GGTAAAATAACATGATAAAGTTAAAGCACTTAATCTGTTAAATTATTCTGAATTTAATTAATAATATTTCCTTTCTTACTGGTTATATACATCCCCTTACATTATAGGCTCAAGTAGCCAAATGTGAATAATTTAGTATTTAAAGTATTTAGAGATAAGTGAAGGTATTTTGTCATCATGGGTGATTGGTTGATGGTCCACAGAAAGGTTTGCATTGAGCAGGAGAGGCCATGGGCCAAAAAGTTGGATAACCACTGCCCTAGACTGAAATCCCAGAAACTGAGGCTTTCTGGCATAGGGGATAGGAGCATTCACCCACATTTGTTGATAATAGGGGACGTGAACAACTAGTCGACACACTAGTTGACTAGTCACTCTCCACCTCTTGCTGACTCTACCAGAAAAAGGCAGGACGGGGAGGGTGGGGGAATGAGGAGTGCTTCAAAGCAGTAGCGCCACATGGAGCCCAGGTTCTGCCATTCTGAAACACCAATTTAAATTAACTGGCTAATCAAATAGTCAATGGTTGATAAGGACACCTCCACCTTTTCAAAGAGCAGGTCCTGAATAGTTTATTGGGACACAAAAGGGAAGCCTGACATCTGGAGCCATGGACTACTTCTTATGACCATCCCATTAGCCATAACTTTGATCATGGGCTGAACAGAGGGCTGCCTGGAGGGTTGTCAGAGATCAGCCTGCCCTCTTCATCCAAAGGCAAGAACTCTGTCCAAGAATCCTGGGGGAGTCATCACTGAATAGGTGTTAAAAGGCATATCGACAGACTACGGCCTGATGATTAGAGATGTGAAGCTGGAGGTCACCTATGGAGTAGATTTTGGTCCCAACAGGTCCAGCTTTTCTACAGCTCTGTTTTTAGGGGAAAGGGACTTGGAAGCCCTGCTTCTCACTCTGCTTTGCAGCAACCACCAATAATGAATCCAATTGTGGATAAATATGAAAATATTCATCGCCCTTAAAGCACAAAATACCCACGCTCGTTCTGCTTAGTGGTTGAGGCAGGAAGGCTGGGGTCTGCAATAACTTCCTCTTCATGTCCAAGACTGCCTTGATAAGTGGCAGGGCAATGCAGGAGGGACTTGAGGATGACACAATATTCATCATAGCATCAACCTTGTTTAAAACCTCTCCCACACTGAGGTCGAGGTTTTGTGCCATTTTACACAGCAGAACCCTAGAGTCCTCCAGGGCTTGGGTGACAGTGGACTCCACAAGCACCTCATCAGGAGAGGAGGCGGTGGCAGCAGCTATGCTCTCCCATCTCCTCCGGCTGGGGAGGTGGGCCAGAAGATGCTGCCAGGATGCATTGTGTTGAGGTGGGTACCAATGCTGATGTCAGTCCCCACAATGGGGCCAGTGGTGCCATCTGTTGAAGAGGTGGTGCCGAGGTGGACAGAGTTGGTGTAGGCACCAAATTTGGTGCCAGTTCCATGGTCATTGCCATGAAATGAGTTGATGGGGGAGGTACCAATGAAGGTGTTGGAACAGAAGCTTGGAAAGTTGATGGATCTGGCACTGAAAGTATAGACGGGACCGTTGTGGACATTGGTGTCAACACCGGCACCAAAAGTGCCAGTGCCGGTAACAGGTGGACAGAGTTGGTGTAGGCACCAAATTTGGTGCCAGTTCCATGGTCATTGCCATGAAATGAGTTGATGGGGGAGGTACCAATGAAGGTGTTGGAACAGAAGCTTGGAAAGTTGATGGATCTGGCACTGAAAGTATAGACGGGACCGTTGTGGACATTGGTGTCAACACCGGCACCAAAAGTGCCAGTGCCGGTAACAATATA